ATCTTGACCTCGGTTGTGTGTACAGACCTCACTGCGTTCGGTCTGTACTCACGACCTCGGTCAAGATTCTCCCATACAGACCTCCTTCTCGGTTAATAAGAGCTAAAAACTGATCACATTCATTGATATTCAAAGGATTGAAATGCATTACCATGTTGCTCTTAAATGTCTTATTAAAACCCTGTGAAGTCTGTCACTTTTGCAAACTTTCCTGTTTTGATACCACCCAGATAGGACTATTGAAAAAGATTCTTGTTCTGTGTAGTCTTATTTGCTTTTCTACAGATTTTATTCCTCAACAAGCAATTTTATAGACAATTCATACTCTACATATTTGAGGTTCCTTCCCAGTTTCACTTCCCGAAACATTTTGTACGTGTAGACACAAGCTTAAAAGATAAAGACAAATGTCTTGAAAATGAGCTATTTGTCAACTGCAATATGCTCAAATGAAAACAATCTGCTCTTGCTTGCTGAAAGTTATTGTGGTAGAAAAAGGTAATGGAATGCAAGAGATTGTGGTACTTAACAAAAACTGATAAGATCTAGATTCTAGCCCCTTTTATTATGTTTTCAGTAAGATTAAATTCTTGCTTTACCTTCTCACAGCAATTTATATTAGTGATCAGAGATTTCCAGTCACATAACACCAGTCATATAATTTTAACTTGTTGGTTATTCTAAGGTAGCAAAACAGTAAAGTGCCCATCTTCCAAGGATCACCCTAATTTTGCCCAAGATAGCGTAACATGTCTCACAGTATTTTTTGACCACGTGTAAACGATTTTCTGTTAAGACAATGTCAGTGAATTGCTTTGATTTCTCATCAGTTCCAGGTGAAATTAACCTCAACATCACCACAGAATCAACAAAGTAGTGATGATGACAATGATGACATAGATGCTGCACTCAGTGATTTACAGGTATTTGTGTAGTAGTGTTCTGCAAAACATCCATACCCTATGAAGGGTTCTCAGGCTGAATTTCCCATCCCCACTACTCTGGAAAATCAAGTTCAACTGCATACTCCTCTACCCCTCTACCCCTCAGAATTGCAAATGTCAGTAAATGGGGTATGGATATTTGTTGTAATTGTTCCTTTGTAATGCAGTTATACATATAATTATTTACATATTTAGCATAAATCACTGGTTTTAAGGTATGATCACATTTTGCATGCATTGTGTACTCCCACACTTCAAAAGTTATTGGGCATCTGGAAATGAGCATGAGCAATGCATGAGCAAGAGTGATTTGTATTCTTCTCGTGATTTAGTTTTTGAAGTTTTGTAAGGGAGTAGACCCTTTCCCACTCAGCCAATTTCTCCATGTGAGAGAAGACAGGTGTTGGTAAAGGAAAAGGAAGGAGGTGGTGAACCTGCAGTCTTAAGTGATGACCTATCTTACCCATACCAGTGGGAGAAAATAGGGACTCGGGTAGACTGAGGGATGGAATTATTTTGCAAGGGAAGAGGTCAGCAGGAGAAAGGCAGTTGTCAATTTGATATCGCTTTTCTGCAAGAAACATTCATTCAAAATCATTGAATGCAGAATGAGGCAGGAAAATTTTTTATAGCCATGGAACTAACCATTCAAAAGGCATGATGAAATTACTTATTACATACCTGGATTTTGAAATAGAAAGTACCAAACTTGAAAGCAGGTGATATTTGCTGCTCAAAGCTATTATGTTCAAAAACTTTCCTACTTGGTAATATTTAGGCTCTGGAAGAAAACAAATGTCATTGACGAGATCAACCAATTGTGTCAATGGTTTCAACTTAAAGATATCTTGAGGTTAAAACATCCAAACCAAACTCAATCCCACACGTTATAGGTTTCAGGGTTAGGGTTGTTTACCAAGTTTAACCAAAGCATCCATTTCTTGTCAGGCTTCTCTTGAAGGATCAACGCTTACCACTCAAACACCACAAAAGGTAGGCCTGTGAAAAACTTTTGTGCCAGTTTCTGTTATGTTAGATAATAATTACACTCATCAACAATAGATGAGCTTGGGGAAGGTGCCTGGAAAGATAGTGGAGCCTCAAGCACAAGAGCCGAGCGTGTAGGGTAACCATGAGAACCCTGTGCACAAGAGCCGAGTTGTAGGGCAACCATGACAACCCTGTGAGCGGCAACCACCAGGCACCGTCACACTACAAAAACAGTGGAACCATGATACTTACCTCATACTTACCAGAGAGGGAGGGAGGGCAGGGAGCTAAATCGCCAAGCACAGTCGAAACAGCACAAATGCACGTGAGAATGAGTTGACCTCAAAAGCCACACTGTAAAACCACACGACCCCCAGCAGACCCCACACCACTGCGCATGTCCAAAACAGGGGAAGGCTGCTGACCAGCATTGTTTCGCATTTAACTTAGCTTAAATTACATTTAACCACATTTAAACTCATCAACAATAGATGAGCTTGGGGAAGGTGCCTGGAAAGATAGTGGAGCCTCGAGCACAAGAGCCAAGCACGTAGGGTAACCATGACAACCCTGTGCACAAGAGCCGAGTTGTAGGGCAACCATGACAACCCTGTGAGCGGCAACCACCAGGCCTCGCCCTCCAAGCAGGGTGCTTGGGGAGCGACGGGCCCGTGAGCAGGGTCGGAGGGGGAGCGAGACCCCCAAAAACTTTCCAAGCACCAACCCAAGGCCTGCCCTTGAATAGAAATAAAAGAGCATACACACCTTGTAACGACGAGCAAACCTGCAGTGGCCCCTGATGAGAAGGAGAGCCAGAACTTGCCACACAAGGCTTTTTGTCCACAGCCAAGCAAGAGGGTGCGGTGCCTCCCATATAGCGTCAATCTAAGCGCAGCAGCCACTCACCCTTATAAGGAAGACACCAGCCCCATAAACACTCCCAAAATTAGTAAAAGGAGGAACGTAAGGTCTAATGGAAAAATTACAATTTAGGTGTAGCGCCGGCAGTCAGTTGCTTCGAGAGTTTTGACATCTCTGCTGGAGTCTGAATGTAGGACAAGTAGGCAGTGCTGGATCACCGTCCCAACGCCTGAATTTGATGGTCGGGGATGCCGTTACGGGCTGCCACCATTGCTGCTCCAATGCAAAAACTGTGGCTAGAGAAGTTGCCAGAGATACCAGCCGAGGCCAAGATGCGACGCAACCAAGCAGTCAAAAGCGGTCGTGATAGCGGGCGACCGTCCTGAAACAGAAATAAGGGGCCCAGTCCATTGCCCCTTATAGTCAAATATGACATCAAGGATTGGAGTGCACACAGTGGATATGTGCCTCTGCCTACGTGCACAAAACACCCCTTCCTAAACGGATCTGTTTTTGATGCCTTAATCTGAACGCGAAGGCATGAAGGTGATGAGGCAGAGTCCACAGAGGTATCAGCTACACCAAGATGGATGGATGGCGAATAGCTGGCCAAATTAGGGACGGTGAACTCCGCAGAACGAAGAAAGCCAAAAGAAGCTAGGCAGCAGGCTGCCCAAAACATGCAATGATCCGGCAAATTGACATTCAGAGCTTTGAAGATAACGACCAGGACATCGTCTGTGATTGGTAGCCATTGAGAAGAAGCATCGCCCTGGGTTTGCTTTACACCCTGAAGTACCCGCCGCAACCTTAGGCAATCGACGAGAGGATCTGGAAAGCCCTGATCAATGTGCAGTGAGCCAACTGCAGAAAGGTACACCTTGATGGTGGAATACTGCACCGTTTTGGCCAAAAATGTCACGAAAAGGCACAACGTCCATTCATCAACCGAGCAAGGGGAACCTGACGGATGAATCTTACCGAGTTGACAGCAAAATTCAAGAAACTTTCTTTGACCTGAG